AGAAATATAAGTTAAGGTATCTATTAAACAAGGTATAGAAAACTATAATTTACTGAGGACCTACCAAGTGACCTGCACTGACCAGGTACTGGACATCCAGTATCTTGTGCATGTATCGGCACAAAGGCAATTTAAATTTGACAAGCACATACTGAAAGCTGACTGGGTACTGGAACCGGGTTGAGGTTACAAAGATAAATAGAACATAATCCCTGCTCCTGGGAAGTTCCCTGGCATGGTTAGGGCAATGCAGCTGGGTCAGGCAACCTCACTCTCCACTTTGGTTCCATCATCTGCAAAATGAGGAGGTCTGATGAGGTGACTCCTAAGCTTTTTATTTTGTCTAACAATGAATGATTTCATACTCAATTGTGCTAAGAGATCAGGCCATCTATTCATAATTCCCAAACCTTTTAAATTTTATCACTTACTAACCACTTCTGCTAAATGATATTTTAGATGATCAATACTGAGTATTTTGGGAGGTCTTCAGAGCCACATTATTTGGACTGGGTTGTTAGAATGTACTGGCAGTAGCAGCAGTCTTCTACAGAATGAGATCACACATGGTCAAGGCAAAATCCAAAAGACAAAACCACAGTGTTCTAACAGAAAGATACCTATGGTCTTATAGATACCTACTTCAATGCATTCATTTCTATACTGAGTCTCGGGGGAGGGGGGAAGTGATGTAGTTCATTGCCGGCTAGGCATCTAGTTCCCTGACATTCATGTTAAGATTTTTTTATTATTATTTTTAATTATTATTATCTAAGTAGGCTCCATGCCCAACATGGAGTCTTAAGTGGGGCCCGAACTCACAACCCTGAGATCAAGACTTGAGCTGAGATCAAAAGTCCGATGCTTGACTGAGCCACCCAGGTGCTCTCCTACTTTTTAAAGTAATCATCTCTTCACCCAACGTGGGGCTTGAACTTATAACCATGAGATCAAGAGTCCCCTGCTCCACCAACTGAGCCAGCCAGGATCCCCCTCATGCTAGAACTTTTTGTGTTACCCCACATTGGCTAACAGACCAGGTTCCAGAGGCAGACTGCTTGGATTCAAATCTTTACTCTGCCGCCTTAGAGCTGTGTGATGACAGATCAAGCTACCACCTTGTGAAGTTGGTACCCTATTATCATCTATTCACAGAAGGGTTAAGTTAGGTAATACTTACAAATTACAACAGTACAGTGCCTGGCACAAAATAAGCCTTCAAAAAGTTATGATGTTGATGGTGATAGCAACTGCTACCATAACTTAACATGTGCCAAGCTCCATTCTAAATAGCTTGGACTCATCACCTCATGTATTATTCACAAGAATCCTATGAAGAGGTAGGGGCTCTTACTCCCAGGAAACTGCAGCACAGAAGGCCGAGGAACCTGACAAAGTAAGAAACAGAAGCCAGATCTGTATCTAGAGCATCTCTCTCCAGAGTGTGTGAGCCCTTAACCACTCCACTATAATGTAGGGTCTCTCACGACTTTCTGTTGCCAATATTGAGCCTTTCTGTGGGTCAGAGGCTGCCATAAATGCTTAACACAAATGAACTCACTGAGTCTCCATGTCAACCTATGACACAGAAATCATTAAGTTTATATTAAATGTTTACATGAATACAACAAGGGGATAAATCAGAAGGTTGAGACAGTGGAGGGCGAGGGTCATAAGAGACAGTGCCAAGAGAAAGAAGATGAGGACTGAACATTCACAACTATCAGGGAACTACTTGGCACAGCAAACACCAATGGCTATCTCAGATGGGAGGGACGTTTGTGGTTCAGATGAGATAGGGTAGGCAACAAAGATAGTGCCCATTTTGCCAGCTTTAGAGTTTTGTTGAAGAGCCAGATCACTAGCGCAATTGGAGGAGGTTCATGAGAGACTCTTAAAAACTGAGAATAAACTGAGGGTTGATGGGGGATGGGAGGGAGGGGAGGGTGGGTGATGAGCATTGAGGAGGGCACCTGTTGGGATGAGCACTGGGTGTTGTATGGAAACCAATTTGACAATAAATCTCATATTAAAAAAAAAAAGAAGGAGGAGGTTCAGTGTAGTGGAAAGGGTTGGGCTTTGAAGGCAAACACTAGCTCTTTTACATCTTAGCTGTGTGTCTTCCAACATGTCACTTAACTTCTCTGAGCATTTTTTTATTAAAATGGAGATAATACCTAATTTATAGTTGTTGTGAGAATTAAATGAGATATATATTTTAAGGGCCAAGCACAGTGACTAACAGAATGAACTAAAAGAATAAATGTGTAGTAAATAGCAGTTCCCTTGGGCAGCACAGTGTGCGATGAACTAGGATAGTTTGACTTATAGGTCACAGTATTGGTAAGCCATACACTCTTCCATGGAGGGGAAAACTGAGAATACAAGTGTAACCTTGCCCACCTGCCTTATAACGAACATCAGAATATTCTGCTAAGAGCATAGGAGAGCAAAACCACTTGTCTTCTGATTTACATCTGGGATCAAGAAAACTTGGTTAGATGTTTGTCCAGATTGCTCTAACGGAAGGGTTCTTGCAGCATATATCCTTGGGGATGGCATAGAAGTCTGACTACAGAGTAAAATTCTGGATATCCAATCTTAGATAAATTGCCAAATCCCAGAAAAACCTTCATATGACATCATTCTCTTGGTTCATTCTTACTCAGAAGGTTTGATTATACTTTCAACTTTCCCAAGTTGCAAATTATTGAACATTTTAGACGTACAAAATAATCACTCTTTTCTGTTGATGATATTTTAAAATCCATGCATAAAATGCTTGACTCTTATCCCACTGATTCCCTTTGCTCTTTCACCCCACATTCTCCAATATAAAATTGGTTAATACCTTACTCTTTCTCACGATCTTCACTGTCAGTAAATTACTATTTGTGGAATAGAATGATAATTCTAAAAGAATAGGTTTTATACTGTGATTGATGGAAAAATATGCTTTTAACTTGCAGGGAAAGATCAATTTTCTGACACTTCAGCTTTATATGCTCAAATGCATTACTATTATAAAGCACCAATTATGGCTAATAATGGCATTATTCTCAACTCAGTAAGTACTTGGTTTGGTAAAGCTTTAAGAACTCTCAACTTTGGCAATCAATTTAGTTAACTACAGGAAATAGCCTATTTCAAATAGATTATTACCTTACTGTCATATTGCTCCCCAAGCTCACATACAATCAAAGTGAATTGTCACTCAATATACATTTACATATACCTTTCCCTATTAAGCTTGCCAAATAAAACACACTCCAGAAGCCATATGTGTATGATGCCAGTTTTAAAGATTTGAGTTCATATCCTCCACCACATTCACCCCAAAATCTTTCAGGTTCTAGAAATTAACTTCATAAGAGATTAGGTAAAAAACACAGAAATAGGGGGTTAACGGGTACATGAGTTCCAGCTAGGTTCCAATGGGAAAGTAATCAATTCTATCTTGCTCTTGGACCCCCCACCATCCAACTATCTCACCAGCGAGAACCTGAGAATGTTCCAGAATATCTTCCAACCCTTTGTCTTCTACATCCAACCAGTAGTTGAGGTATTTATTCAACACCATCTTTTAAATGTCTTTTCCATCTTTATTCTCCATTCTACTGCCCTAGCCTCAGTCTTATTTAACACTGCAAAACAAACGTTTCTCCACTTTGTAAGTTCATGAATTATAAAATAAAAACATCACAGAACATGCACATCAACAAATGGCAATTGTGGTCACTTGGACATAGGACCAAAGGGATCCTGGATACCTCTTAGAACCATAATCTCTAAAAAGATTCAGCACTCAGTCTTCTCAAAGGGAGTCTGTCTGGGAAGTACAGGCAAAAATTCTTATCTTGGGTAATGAGTGTAATAAGAAACAGAGAAATGGAGTTACAGGAGGATCCAGGGTTTTCCCAGGCAGCTATAGGAGCATCAGGCAGATGGAGAAAAGTAGCCCAAACAGAAGATACTTCCCCCGAAAAGGCAGGGAAGCATGCCTCTGCACTGTGTGTTAAGGATAAAAATAAACTTTATAATCCAGAAAAGGCAAAAATCCACTATCTTATTTGGGATTTTCACATGAAAATCTCACTGGTAACTTACTGTAATATGGTCACATTGCTCTATACAATAGGATTTATTTTTATGGCCAATCTAATTATTTGCTTTTGACATCACAAGAAAGGAAAGTAATCTCAAGGCAGCAGATTACTATCCACTAGGCTTTCACTAAAAGTGAAAGTACTTACAATGCCAGAATCTCTAGGAAATCTAAAGGGGAAAAAAAACCCGCAGAATGACTCCAGAAATCGTATTTCCAGGATTTTCTTTTCATTTGAACTTCAACAAGTAAATGTTCAATGTGTATAGTACCCTTAAGTACCTATAGCAAGAATTTCTTCAAAGAAGCATAAACACAATTTTTACTACAAAAAAATGAAACATGGCTCTGCTCTCATTTCCATCCTGCTCTGGCAATGGCAAAGAGAATCGCCCTTCTAAAAATCAAGGAGAATCTCAATTAAACATAGTAATGAGCTAGCCGGCATATACAGACCGTTAAAACTCTTAACTAATTCACAAAGCCTCATTTTACTCAGATATTTCTACCCTCCACAAAATCTTTCACAATCACTACTAAACTTTGGGAAAACTTAGTACTTTGAATTTTTCCCATATTTCTTCCTGCATTATTTACTCAGAGGGCTTAGAAACTACAGGATACACAGACACGGTTATCAAAATGAAGGGAAACCATATGAGAGACTGTAAAGGAGGGAAATGCCTCCAAATCGAATTACCAGCCTTTGGGAACTAGAGATGAGATAGAGGTGGATCCCCAAAAGTAATGTGAACAGAAATACTTTTAACCAAATGCCAGGCTACAAGATCTTTTGAATCCTACTACCACTACTTTTCCACATTCCTTTTTCTTTGTCCACACGTTCCCTTCCCTTCCCCCAAGAAGGGCTGAAGAAACATGTGTTTTTACTTACGATTGTGAAGTTCATGACTTTGAGAATCCAGATGGTCATGGCCAAGTTCACCAGTATTAAAATCATCAGGAGTAGGACAAAGAAATACAGGCATCTTTTCCGCCAGCCATAAATGCCCACCTTGTATACTTGTGGCCCCTCAGAGCTGGGCATGGAGCTCCGGTGGTGTGTGTACTGTTCCTGAGGCATCTGAAATAGACAAGGCAAGAGAGACGCACTCACGTTAAACTGCTGAGAGGAAGAAAAAAAAAAAGAAAAAAAATCAGCTGATGAAGAGATATGGCTGGCTGCCGTCTGTACGTTTCCATCCTCCTGACAACTCCAAAAGTCAGTTTCCCCTGGACAAAAGTATCTCCTCTGGACACTGTGTTAGTCCCCTCATTTTACACAGTCATCTCTCATGATGTATATACCGAGACATCCACAGGTGCGCATACCCTGGGAGGAAGAGACCCTTAGGAAGCCATTTTCCAAATGATTCTTAGAATTCCAACCTCTTCGTGAGGGAGATGCTCAACCGCCTACCAAAGTCCTGAGGGCAAAATTTAGAATTTGTCTGAGAAAATAAATGAACCCCAACAGTTCATCGCGGTGGTATAATAAATGCTATTCAACTAATTTATTTGGTGTGTGTGGGGGGTGCTAAATGGTCTCAAATGCAGTCATTCTGTACTGCCAAAAAGTCGGGGAAAAGTAACAATTTTTATCTTCTCCCTATTTCAGAGTTCAAAGTGATGCTGATGGGCATAGATTAAGCCCCACCGGACTCAGAAATCTTCAAATGGTAGCTGGTGCTTAAATGCCTCCCTTAACAGTAACCTCATTACGTGATGAATTAGTCCTTAGGAGTTACAGGATTCCAATTGTGATCAATCAATTCACTTATTTAATAAACATTAAAGAGGCTCAAAGTCAAGGAAGGTGTGAAAATGCCTTCCAGGAGCTCGCAGGTTAATGGGAGGAAAGAACTCATTAAGTAGTGATTACAGCACAGTGAGATAAGTTAGAAAAATATTTGTCAAAGTTAAGTAATATATTAATCCTCCTTAAAGTAAGGAAGCTTTCCTTAAACCCCGCTGTTGACACAAAAGATCTTTCTCCTACCACCACTGCTTAAGTATCAACACAAATCTAAGTAAACTTATTTCAATAAAATTCTAAAACCAAAACTGAATTTAAAATTAAATACGAACAAATCAACCAATGTGTGTCAATCAAAATGGACAATAACTGACTTCTACAAAGGTTGATGATTTCCTAAAACTAAGTGACATAATGTGGTACCAAGGACTTTAGCACAGCATCTTCTGAGTCTATCATCCCTATTCTGCCATGAGCCATGTGACAAAATGGCCCCTACTGTTTTTCTCTATTCAAATACTTGCACAACCTTTCTTTTGGGATTTTTTACTTCATTTGCCCTTCACGTAAGCATACTCCATTCCCTAAGAATAAAGCTTGCCTCTTTTTATTTTCATCTTGGTCAAGATCAATGAAATGTGTTGTATGCAGTACCAAAGTGACCATGGTGACAAACAAAACGTGGGCTCTGAAATCACATCATTGGTTATTAATTCATCTTCCAGATGGGCTGGGATATGATTACTTTATAGTTTTTAGATAATCATTAAAATGTACACATAAAATCTAAAAATCCCCTTGAGAACTCAAGGCCTTTAAACATCACTGGTATTCTGAAAAGCCTAGTGAATTCTTATTTATGATCAACGGAAATGCTCAATGAAGTCCTACATGACATCTGTCTTGTTTTGGACACTATCCTAGCGCCAAAATCAGGTCCTAATATAAATATTTATTTAAATATATGTGTATGGAATGAATGAGTGAAAAAACAAATACATAAATGACAAATGAATGATTTCCCATCTAATATGAAATCCTCTGCCATCTGGGAGTGTATAGAAGCTTAAGTCCAACACCACAGGAAAATTAATTTTTAGTATCCCTGCACATTTTCACTTAGGCTTCCAAAGCGCTGGGTTCCCAACCAAGCAGTGAAATTTATGCTACAAGAGGATCTCCATTTCATAACTCAGCTCCTTATAATTCTATAGATCAGGGCTGTATTGTAACAACATAGAAATGCAACAAAGTCATTTCTCGTTAACTCTTTTACACACCAAGATCCCTTAGAAGGAGAAAGAATGTCTTATAAGTTTGAAGGAAATTACGCCTTTATTTCCTATTAAAACATATTCTATAAATTAAAGAAATGATCACATAATTGTAAAATCGTATCTGCAAGGTCCTTTAACTCCAATGAACTAATTTTATGAATGAGCTGATTTAAGCCTAGAGTTGACCAACTTGTGCAGGAATACAGGGCTTATAGCAGGGCAAGGACAAGAATAACTGTACTGGACTCTAGTAGGTATGATGAACAATGAGAAATAAGAGTACAGAAGCTAGACATATTGCCACCACACCAGCTGCTTTTTCTTTGACATTTGCCACAACCAATGTGGGAATTACGTAATTTAGCTATAAAGTGGAAACAACATGTTCAATAAATATTTAGAAGACTCTAGAGATACGGATATCACACTTGTGACTTTTTTTTTCACACAAAGATTGTTATACCTTGACGAAATGCAGTGACTGTCTCTATTAGGGTTTCTCAATCCTGGATACATATCAGATAGCTATGGAGGCTTTAAAAACACCTATTAAATAATAGGTGTCTATAAATAATAATCACAAAGATAGGACTCAGGCATCAGCATTTTTAAAGTGTCCCATGTAATTTGGTATAGACAAGGTTGCATACCACTTGTCCAGAATAATCCTCCCTCAGCCTTGACTATGCATCAGGCTCAAAAACAAACTTTTAACAAATACAAGTTCTGAGCTCTATGATGGAGTTATAATTGCTTAAAAAAAATAAATAAATAAATAAATAAAATTAATTAATTAATTAATTAAAAAAACTCCCTAGGCTGTTCCAAGCATTTGGGATTACTTCTCTAAAAACTGGCCTTCAATATATTTTTTAATAGTATGACCACTGCAAGAGAAAAAGATTGCAACAAATTCTAGAATACGCAACAGTAAAAAAGCAGAGCTTCTCTGAGGGCTTGGCAGGACTCTTGCGCTCCTAGGGACCACTGGTATTGACCACCATGTTTACTGACTAGCTGAGGAGCTTGAAGCCAGGAAGGAGAAGTAGTTCTCTTTCAAGTCACACAACAAATTAAAGGCTGAGTGGGGATCAGAATTCGGACCCCTCATGAATGATGTAGTGGCCTATTCTGTACGTAACGAGGGCTCTTAAATCTCTACCACACCAACTGCCTACTTAAATAAGCCACGTAAAACAGAATACTCCAGTTTGCAACTCAGATGGTAAGGGAAGAAGGAAAGAACAGGGAAGGGAGTGAGCAATTTTGTATGAATGGTTACAACAGGAAGCAAAGCCAACCAAACATAAGGAAATGCATACATCTGTTACCAATAATCCTGCCGAGAAAGGGAAAATTTAGATATGCTGAGTACACTAATTTTTCTAGTCAAAAACTGAAACATGTTGAGATGATAAAAATATAAAAAGAAAGATAGTCTCCAATCTGTGTTTCTTCTTGATCCTCCCCAGGAGAAATCCTTCCAGGGAATCAAGTTTCAAGTCCTCTCTTGTCCAGGTTCCTTTCATGACTCTGGGAGGCACCCTAGTAATACATTAATAGCACCATACAATTTTTGTTAAATGGGCTAAAGTTAAGATGTTTTAATTACAACTAGTTAAGACTGTGTATTTTTCAAATTCCCTTTAGGTTGGGTGGCTTTGGAGGATTTACATTAAGTTTGGAGGTCCAATTAACAGGAAGGTGAATTGGGGGTTCATATGGTTTGGGTACAGTAATAAGTATTTACGTCATTTGCAGACACTTCCTTGTAGAGGGTACATTATTTCTAGTCCTCCTCATGTAGCAATGTCTTCCAGAAATTCTTCTTCCACCCTTGGTGCCAACTCACCGAGTATGGTGTCATGAAGGTAAAGAACCCAAGTACACCTTGTGATGTAAACGTATCCTGTGATGGCCAGCACCAGAAATATCTGGGTAGTAAAGAGCCAGATGCCAGCTGGACTTTTTTTTTTCAATCATTAGATATGTAAAATTTCAAGTGAGATCCAATTCTCACTGACACTTAGTCAAAACAGAAATTCTCTCTTGACAAGAATATATCCAATTCAGCATATAAAATTATAGGTGCTCCATACCGTTTTTATTTTTTATGGGAATCATGGAAAATAGAATGAACCAGAATTCTTAACGTTTGCAGGTTATGTGCACTGTGTGTTTATATTCTGTTTGTAAAGTTGCATGCTTTACACATCACCATCAGCAGTAATAAAATCTCAGTTCTGTTGAAATTGCCATAGGAAGCAACGATCTTTCTATTGTCTATACAAGAAAGTGATAGTGCTAAACAGCTGTCATATGAAGAGGCAATCTACGGCTATGCAACCAAAAAGTATGGAAAACGTATGTCAGTTAATTATTAACAATATCATTTTTCTGGATTTTATGATAGGTCTTTTAAAAATTAATGATTTCTTTTCTCACCCTAAACATATTCATGTTTTTAATTTTTTTGTATTTATATTTTTTTAGTTTATTTTTCCCATTAAAACATCCCCCCAAATTATTTAGGCTTCAGGCCTCACAAAACCTGGATCCTCCCCTAGCCCCTGCCATAAAGGACCCTAGGCATACGGCAAGCCCTCAGTGGGACACCACTGTGGGACATCACTGCTTAGCTGAACACACTGCAAGGTACTGTTATCGGTCTTCCATTAGGAGTGACTTTTGGACTTCGCAGTGGATAAGAACCACTCCAGGGTAATTGATGAAATGCACATTCCTAGGTGCATTTATGCCCTAATTCAGTAGGGCATCTCAGGAACCTGTGTTTATTAACAAGCACCAAATGATTTTGATAGATGTGGCTCAGAGACCATGCTTTGAGAACATGAATTTAGACCTAACATAGAGATACATCCCTGGCCCAGTCATTGGCTCACCCATTTTCCTCCTATGTCTATATAGACTATATATAAATATACATATATAAATATGAAGGCTGGCAGAGTAAAAAATATATATATACATATATGTGTATGTATATGTGTGTGTGTGTGTGTATAGACAGAGAGAGAGGGAGGGAGAGGG